ATTATAAATAAATTTGTTTTATTATTTATTTTATAAAACCTGTATTAACTATTATTTTATAAAGGGGTGCTTATTTTTGAAGGTGCTTACTTTTAGTTTTTACAAACATTATGGCAAAAGTAGCAGGGGTGCTTATTTTTGAGGGGTGCTTAATTTCAAGATTTTACGGTAATAACTGCTATTGCAGCTTCAGTTTTACTAAGAAAATTTAGTAATAACCACCATCACAGCTTCGATTTTACTAAGAAAACTTAGTAATAATCGCCATCTCAGTTTCATAACAATTTTATTAGTAAAAAAATGTTTCTGAAGCTGCAGACGCGTTTTTTACTAGGTTTCTTAGTAAAAAATGTCTCTGAAGCTGCGGAGGCATTTTTACAATATTTTCTTAGTAAAAAACATCTCCAAAGCCACGGAGGCATTTTTACAATGTTTTCTTAGTAAAATAACATCTTTGAAGCTGCGAAGGCGTTTTTACAATGGTTTCTTAGTAAAATAATGTTTCCGAAGCTGCAGGGGCATTTTTTACTATGCTTTCTTAGTAAAATAACATCTCTGAAGCTGCGAAGGCATTTTTTACTATAGTTTTCTTAGTAAAAAGGCATTTTCAAAGCTGTGAAAGCACTTTTTGCTATAGTTTTCTTAGTAAAAAAGGCATTTTCAAAGCCATAAAGGTGCTTTTTGCTATGGTTTTCTTAGTAAGAGCCACTCCTGAAGCTTTGAAGATGGCTTTACTATTGATTCAAATCAAATCAATATTTGAATACTTGATTTGAATTTGATCGAATCAAATCAAACATTAATTTAGATTTGATCAAATAAATCTTTCTTTGATTTGAATTTGATCGAATCAAATCAAATATTCAAATATCAAATCGAATTGCAGAACCCTAACTATTATTATTAAAAAAATTTATATTTTTTACATGTTAAAAGTTTTTCATAAATAAATTATTATAAGTAAAAAGTACTAATAAATGTCTAATACCAGAATATAAAAGGTTTTTATGCATTAGTAAGATTGATATAAATGCCAAAATATTTTTGGATTTCAATTTTACCTATACTTTAAATTGTAAAAATATTATATCTCCTTCTTTCTACTTTTCTAATGATATAAGCTAGCAAAACTCATATTTATCATCATATCAGTCTATATGATATTCATAAAGGGTATTAAAATTTATTGCTCACATTCCAAATACCTTGAATATTTCTTTTACTTATATTATAATAAAAAATAAGATACAGTTTATAAATAATAATATTTTTTAAATAATTTATCTGATCTGAAAAATAAAGATTATTTAAATTATTAAACATAGATAGATAATAAAATGGCATTACATTAAGATAATCTGCTAATTCATTGATATTATATAGCATTTTGTCAACGCAACTATCAATTATTAAAATATATATATTAAAAATAAAAGTATTTAAAATAATTATAAATAATAATAAAAATTAACTACTTACTACAAATGATCATCAATATTGCTATTCTTATTTTACAGATATGGGTTTATTGCTAGTAAAATCACATTTCGAGACCTATCCAATGAAAATTAAGATTTTAATTTCATTTTAATATGTTATACATAAAGATAGTTCCCATAATTATTTTTAAAATCTTTAACTAGTTGCAACTTAAGTTGCATTACTTTGAGTTGCAACTATTTATGAATTTTTATATTAAAATAAATTTATAAGGAGTTGCAACTTACCGAGTTGCAATTTTTTAATTATGGTATTCATTTTTAGTTACACATGAACTTCATTTGGCTAAAAAATCATACCATATAATCATAGTACCAAGACGAGCAATTGAGCTTAAAGTTTTATTAAAGAATATTCTATAAATAGTTTAAAATATAGATGTTTTATTGAGTCATCGACTGGATTCGTGAAATCAATTACCGCATGCTAAAAAATAAATAATGAAAGATGTTCGCATTTATAGTTTTAATTTTTTTTTGTAACCGCTAGTTTAAAATATATATTTTGATTATTATACAGTAAGTTTATCAATAAAGAAAAATAATAGTTTCTGTTTATTTTTTTAAATATCTTTTTTTTTGTTCCTATTTTTTTTGATCGCTAACATAACGAAATCATCTGTTACTTTTTTTCTCTGATCAAATAGTTTTAACAGTACAAACATTACCATTATACATCAAGGTAGAAGTGACTTTTCTGAAACATTTGCCAATGCCAAAGCATTAACTTTTTTTCATTTTTTCGTTCATTATTTTCTTTCAATCTTTTTAATTTATTCTTGTTTTCTTTTTCTCCTCCATTTATTCATTCTTTCTTCCTCCCTCTTTTTTCCTTTTCTTTTTTTCCTTCTTATTGTTTATTTTTCCTTTTTGAGTTTTTTTCAAATGATAATACTATTAGTTCTTCATAAAACTTATAATGTCAACCACTGTTGATTGAAATCATCAATGACTGTACTATGTTTCCTTTCTCCATTCGATCAAATCGATTCAAAGAAGGAGATTCTGATGGAATTTTTTTTTTATTCCTTTCTTTTTTCACTTTTTTTTATTTTTTTTATTTTTGTTCTTTCTTTTATTTTCTATTACCTTCTTTTTTGTACCTTTTCTTTTTTTTCCTTATTATTAATTTTTGTTTTTTCACTATTTTCTGTAACTTGTTTTCCTATTTCAACTCACACTTCTTTTAGTTTAGCACTCAGATGTATAGGAACTAAAAATGCAAATGGTAAGCCCTTTCCTATCTCATTTATATATTGTGGCAAATTTTCTATTGGTTGCTATGTAAAGTTTTTATTCAATTAGTATTTTCAACTAATAATTTTGACTTTCCAACCAAGTTCCAAAGCATTTTTTATACATTTCTAAAAGCCTCTTTCATTATATTCAGCATTATTTCCATTTCCACTAGTGAGGACCAAAGTAGATAATGCTTAAGTCTCTAGCAAAATTTTATAGATCTTGAGTTGGAGAAGTTCATCAACACATTATTCTCTTTGATTAATATGTTGTAAACTGAATATTCATAACTGGCTTGTTCTGCTTGTGTGAGTGGTTTAGACATTCCTTTCTTTTTCTATGATTTTGAAAAGAGTATTATAATCTAACATAGGCACCTTTGGCATCTTTTTAACCTTTGGTTTGCGATTTCTAAATTTAAATTGATAATATGAACTGAATCTAGCTAAAATATTGGAATTATCAATGAAAACGTAAATAGTGTCATCAAATTTCTGGGAAGAAATCAAATCATTTGAATGGGAAGTTCTAGTAAAGCTAATATTATTAAACATAAAATCAGTTGCAAACAAGACTGTTGTATTATATCAATTATAACTTGAAGGAATATTGTAAAATCAAATTTTTTAAAAATCTTTATTGAGCTATTAAAAAAAAATAAAAAAATAAAAGAATTTTAGCATTTTTGATTTTATTGAAACGTTAATATCATTGTGAAAAAAAAATTAGTATCTCACCTTTCCAACATACGTTTCAGGTTTTTTATTGATTTTCTTCATTGATGTCTTTTCCTCATAAATTGTCATAATACTTTCAACTTTTCTTCTTTGGTGATGATGATGGTGGTTGCATTTCCTGTTTAGGGGCCATTAACTCTACATAAAAGTAATCAGAATATTATTCAGATTCATTTTCAGTGTAATTTGAATAATATTCAGAATTGAATTTATTTTTAGAATAATATAAATTATATTTGATAGAAAGTGATTGTGAAGATTCCAGTTATTATTCCTAGTAATTGTAGAACCAGAATACTTTTCGATAAATGTTTCATATTTATTTGTTTTACCTCTACTATACAGTATATAACTATATATTTTTATCATATAACCCTAGCAAAAAAATAAAAAATTACTGACTCTACAAAAATAAATAGAAATAACTCTCGATATTATATTCTTTTAATACTTTCACACACTACATCTGAGCTTAAATTTGCGCGAGGAGATGGTTGATGATGAAATTACCAACTTGTATTTTCTTCATATCTAAATAGGCAACCACTTTTATTTTATTCTTTTCTTCTCCTTTTTTCGTATGTTATTTTCCTTCCTCTTTTCTTTATGTCATTCTTTCGTTTCTTCTTTTTTTAATATTTTCTTCCTTTTACTTTTGACGAGATACATTTGGAGTTTCGTAATTTTTTGGATGTTTTGATAACTGATCATATATTGGTTTTTAATAGTACCGATATTGGTATTGATGATAGTGCTGAAATTAGTGCTGGTATAGGACTTCCTCCCTTTATATCTTTTTTTTGTTTTCCCTTTTTTGCTCATTTTTCCCTTCCTATTTTTGTATCTTTTTTTATTCTATAAAATATTTCGCTTCTTTTTGTCACTTGTTTTTACTTTTTTTTTTCCTCATTTCATTTATTCCTTTTCCTACTTTTTCTATTAATTTTAAATAAATTTTCTGTACCTTTTATTTTAATTAACAATTTAATATATTTATTTATTTAATAAGCTAATGTTCATCAGGTTTAGAAAAATGAACCTCTTTAAATGGTTCGTCAACGTGTTTACGAATATTAGAATATAAATATTGTTTTCGTTCTTTTGTTAATGGTGAAATTGGAATTATACCAATTTTGCCATTTTTATCAAAACTATTATTACGAAGAAGTTCAAAAGATGTTTCTAATCCTTCAGATTCCTTTGAAACATAAACTTTACTGATGTTACTAGGTGAATTACTAAAATGGAAATGATAGTATTTTTTTAATTAGGCAAAGAAATAAAATGATTTTTAAAAAAACCTTCAAAATTATACCAAATCCATCCATTTTTATAGCAAGTTGCTTCATTTTCTTTAGATGAGCAATTCACAATTCTCTTTATATCATTGATTGTATTAATTCTTATATCTCTATATACTTTTTTAATATATCCAAAAAATGCATCACATATAAATTTTATATGACACAGAATCATAAAATTTACGATAATTTCTTCATACCATCCTAACATAATTAACCATATCCAAAACCATAAAGAAAGATTATTTTTATTTTGTTTTGCACAATTGTCACAAGTAATTTTTAAATGTTTTTTTCCTATACAAGCAAATTTTTGAAGTGTACTATATATCATATTTAAAGTAGTATTAGCCTTTTTAGCTATTCCTTTAGAAAACTCATCTTCTGCAATTAAATAATTTAATTAATAATTCTGATCACCTTCAGTTTTGCATACACTAAATAAATGAACAGAAAAAGTATTTTTAAAATAAAGAGTTCCAACTTGCTGTAATGAATATGGAACTGATACATTTTATGCTCAATCATAACAAATATGTGCTATTGTTTTATATATTTGCTTTCATTAATATTTTTATTATAATATTCACGCTCAAGATTTGCTGTTTTACAATGCATTTCATATTGAATTTTGATTTTATTATGTTCTTTTATATCATGCTTTGCTATTTTTAACTCTGCTTTAAGATTTTCACAGGTTTCACACAAGTCAATTGCTGATGTTTGAAATTTTATATGTGGTATTAATTCATGCCAAAGTTTTATAAAGACATTATAAGAAATAATTGTCTGATTATCTTCAATATTATTAATATATTCTTCATAGATAGATGTGTTTCCTATAAGAAATTGAAATAAGGAAATGATACGTTTTTTATAAGGTTTGTATACGTAATTAATGATTCTATATCAAAA